TTGTGTCCTTTTATGGAGATTTACGAGAATATTCCGTGTTTAGAAAATCTGCCGCACTGAAGTCTAAATCTTTTCTCCATCTAAGCATGTTTCAAAGTATTTACGGGTCCAGTATTTACAAAAACTTGAACTGGAACACGGACCGAATTGAACAAATCCATTAGCATCATCATTAAGTAAACACAAGGATGTCGGCGAATGTAAAACTATGTCAGTTAATCATATTAATGGAGATATCGTATATCGATCCGGATTTACAACACATGCCCCAATACCACTCTAATTTACAACACTGGTACAGATTCCTGGAACCTAAAAGTAGTTCCGTCTGTTAAACTACATATAAAACACCTTGGAACCCCAGACCCGGCATTAACCGAAAAACGCTTTCTATCATGCAACTTTCTTTCTACAAGTCTTTGAAAACTGAATTGCCACTTTGATTGAATTTTACGAGAACGATGTTTGTTTCTTATCACAGGAATCTTTTTAAAGGCGTGGATATAAAGAACGGTTTGGAAAGTGAAGCACACGTTTCTGGAAGATTGCCAATTCTTGGATGGGAAATATAACGTTTATCGCCCGTCACAGTGGTCTGCATAAAATGATTTATTTTTCTATTTAAGAGGAAATTGGGTCGGTCAAGTGAACGAAAACAGCACCATTGGTATCCGAAGCTAGTCGGAGGTAGAATTAAGATAATGGAATTGGATAAGACCAAACCTTAAGTACTTCACGCGGCTGCTGATGCTGCAGAGAAAGGAATAGCCGACTGGCTGAAAGTAGTCAAATACGATGGGATGAAGAGATTCAGGGAAGGCTAAATTTGCTTCATCGTAGAAATCGAACTCAAGTACCGGTCCTCCCTTTGGATTGAGTCTGGTGTATTAGGTAAGGTCTTCAATAACAACAGGTATCAGAATGTGATGCTGGTGTTAGGGTTTTGTGTTGTGGATATTATTGGCTGGATCCAGTCCATTCCGTCTTCCCTGATCGACGTTAAGTGTGCCAGTCCTTGTCGAATTCATTTAATGCAACAGTGTGTAATTTTGTGGTTACATCTGTTTCTAAACTGACGGGCAAAAGAAAGTTTTAACTCATTTTCGAAACGAAACCGAACGTAATTCTCGATGGTGATGCATTTGGTCCTGGTATCATACTTATGTTTTCGACCTTGCGTTTGCGGTGTTTTCATAACTTTGCCTTTTCATTTTGGTCACATCCAAGTGTATACTTTGTTTTGCCGAACAGTTTAATTGATAAAAAGCCGAAAGTTGGTTTTAAGGCCCTTTCTTCCATTGTGTCCCTTCCTTCCGCATGGACCCGTGAAGATCCAGGTTAGAATTGATCTTTAGGAACCCATGTTTGTTGTAAGAGGCGACTAACGGGATGAGGTGGTCAGGCTTGTTGGCTTGGTTGACACATGCCATCGTATCCCAGTTGTGTAGATCGATGATCATGCTGCCTATCACTGGATTGTTTGGTCCTGACTCGATTATTTACAGACCGCCGCCATAAAGCCTTGATATTGCTGATTGCGGTGTTAAACAACCAACCAACCAACCAATCAATCAATCCTTCCGCATGGAAACAACTCAGGTGAGGTTGAAATGAGAAGTAAACACTCAAAGCTCTGAAGTTGATATTAAACGTGTATTCGCCCATCGCTCAGTTAGAATCAGTTGTGTCATACATGTCACGGGTGAGTGACTTGGGTTCGACTCCGCTTTCAGTCATATCGCGTGATATCTGTCTTATGTGGGAGGCCAGTGTGATCACTTCGAGTTAGTGAGTGAGTGGTTGGCATGGTCATGCATGGTCTGGTCAGGGACTCCAGAATTGTTTTCTAGGTGTGGTTAGTTGTGTCAGTTTCCGACAGGTTTCATTCCTCACACTGCCCCGTCCGGAATCGAACCCACTGGGATCAACCTTATCCGCAGAGCAGCGCAACGTTGGAAAAGATTATTTTCTCCGATTATATATACTCCCCATCAAAAGTTTAGACTCACTAGTGTAAATGTAGCCAATCTTCTAAACTAGATTTTGCAAAATTTTCCATACTGTTTAAAGGTACTGTTTACACATGAACTGATGTATTGTAAAACAAATTCGTAACGTTGGAAAGATTATTGTCATGGGTTAAAAAAATGATGAAACTGAGTGAAAACTGGCGATTTTTTAACAAACCTTTACACCACAACACAGCTGTTCACATGCACGATATTTGCACATGCTTTTTAGCAATTTAATGCATGATCCTCGTGCAATTCATCTGCATAAAGTTTACAGTTGGTTCCCCAAAGTTAGTGGAGAAATTCACCGCCGATGTAACCACACATACCGGTATATGCCTAACATATAGTGAGTGCTTTAAGTGAGTCTAAACTTTTGATGGGTAGTATATATTATGGGCATGTTCAATGACTGTTTTACTCCACGGAAAACACGTTTGTTTATGTATTTCATGTCTGTTGCAGTGAGTGGGCGATGATGACTTTTCGCCGCTTTTAGCAATATTCCAGCAATACCACAGAGGACACCAGGAATGCGTTTTACCGTAGCATTGTACAATGTGTACCGTTGTGGGGAATCGAACCCGGGTCTTCGGCGTGACGAGCAAACGCTTTAACCACTAGGCTACCCCACCGCCGCGTTATAGTTAAACAGGGTTAAATCAACAGTTCACTATGAATTTATGGTTAGAAAATCCCAAATTCATTTATTATCTATTAAAGGCATAAGAGCATCTGCTGACAGCCACTTCATGGATGTCAGTCGTCTTTGTGAAAAGTTTTAATATATTGCAATTACTAGAACTCTTTATCTGAAGTACTCCAAAAATGTAAACATTAAACCAACAGTCATATAATACGAGTAGTTGCCATATAAACTATTTTAAGGTCGGTGTCGAAAAAGACAACCATTATTTTTTAATGGTAACGTATTGCCTTTGGGAAATTAAATGTATGGTGTAAAAACACCCTTACTAAAGTCCATTCACAATGTGCCCAGCATTTCTATAAAACTGCTGAAAGAGACGTACTGATACGCACTCACTCAAACAAACATAACTGTTTTGATTTAATTTGATTTATTTCCTGGCGTAACACATAATTTCCAGAAATTACTGCCGCTCGATCATTGACGCGTGTGTTCTTCAAGGGTTTTGGGAGGTTGGTTTATGCCCTATATATGAGTTTGGTATCCTTATAGTCCCACACTGCTCTCAATTACATTATGACATCATCCATTAAAGCATCACAGGCTTCGATAACGAATATTGTCAGTTGAAATAAAGTGAAATTCTTTATGATTGAAATGGAGCATTAAAAAGGTTCCTATCCCCAAAGACCTCTTGACAGTTTAATAAAACACGGAATCCCTCCATTATTCTAGAATACGTAAATTGTAAGATGGATGATGAAAGGTCCTCTAATTTCTCCAAATAGACAGCATTTGACCAAGATGCAGTAAAGAGGGTTAGTGTTTTGATCTGCCTGTCGATGTTTCCATGATAATGGCCACTGTAAGCTCCCTGTGCGGTATTTCGGAGTCGCTTGTCAGATAAACAAAGCATCGTCTTCAAAGCTGGCTTAATTTGATTACTTTTTGCTTGACAGTCCGATAAACAACACCCCCTTGCCTACTATGACCAGAACGTGAGATGTTGTCGAGTGGTTCAGTTGATGGTGTTTTATGGCCACGTTGAATGCTGTTACCCTTCCATAAACGTGGCGGAGAAAGGGTAAAAAGTTGGCCGATCGATACGCTCAGCGCCCCCTGGCGTCAAGCATTTTGGTGTCAGATATGGGACAAGTTAGCCCTGTGGCGGTTTGGCTGAATGAAGTATTGACAACGGCCTATTTAAGGCTCAATTTCAAAGTCAATTGGAGCCTAAAATATTTTTTAGTGTTGAACGGATGCATAAAACTGTGAAGTATTTTTGCTTGAGAGTTTTATATTTTGAGAAATATTACAGAATTTCTGATGTAGTTAATCAACATCCTTAACAGTTTAAGTTTAAACAATTTCCTTTAATGGAGTTTGCTCGTTGAAAATCCGGATTCGAATCCATGCTTTTCATATATTATAAAGTAATTCACGATGAGTGAGTGAGTGAGTGGGGTTTGACTGGCGCAGGCCATATACATTAAGTTCTGGGGAAACCCATCAGTACGGAACGATTCAGAACGACAATGGTCAGATGGTGTGAATCTGGGGTTCGAACCCTTGAACATGGGTTGGGAAACCCACTTGAGATAACCGGTATCAAACATACTGGTGAGATCGAATTCGATTTCTGTGATCGGCTACTCCATGATGATGACGCAAGGTATGCTTTCATTTTGTAAGTCATTGGTACGTCTAACCTGCCTCTGTCGAATTCGAAATGTAATGTTTTTTTAATGTTAATAAATGTTCTTCAATGATCTTATATAGTTTGCATTATTATCATCTTGACAATCTCCAAATAGAGCCAAACTGTATTTGTAAAGGGTCACATGTCTTGTATGATCTTTGTGATTGTATTGTTGCTCCACTGTGATGATAAGAATGGATATAATAATAATGAGAATATTTATAACGCGCTTTTTCCAGGCTAGATATCCTGCTCAAAGCGCACAATCTGATCATTATTACCCCGGACAACCCAAGCTGCCTGTGAGGCGCTAGAAGGTTAATAGTCCCACCGGGTACCCATTTTCTGCTGGGTGACCAAAGACAATTTTGAAAAAACTCAGTTGTCTAAGGTGAACCACGTGTATCACGCGTGCAAATATGCATCGGTACGATACTAAAATGGTGCGGTTTGAGGGCCTTTCGAAAAAATAACTACTCCATATTACGACTGTCATATACCACTATTCTTTCTCTCGTTCAATACGTTCTGAAACAAGTCGGAGTAAGACAATGATATCTGACAGACACTCGCGTAGTGATCACTATCTCTCATCTGTTATCCTCACGCCCTCTGCGGAAGCACATAAATCAGCAAATAGTTCGTGGCTCTATTCATTTTAATCATAGTTCACTTCATACACGTATGTTTATTTTAAAATTGGTGATTAAACGGCTACGATGTAACTGAATCTATGTAACAACAACACACAACAAAACCGTCGAATAGCATGCTTCATGCACGAGAACACAATGTGTGACACGTGATCACGATCCACCAATCACATGCCACTCATCACACAGTGCAAAGATCTCCTTTTTTAAAGGAAGAAAAGTATCATATTAGTTAAAATACCAAAGCTCTTCACGTCCTCATAATGTGAGGTATTACACTAGTGTCGCGGAAATAAGTGAACTGTCATACTAATTTCAAAGCGAAAGGGAATGAAAAGACATATATCGAACGCTTCATGCAAGACACATCTCCAAAAGGTTATGTGATGCTTCGTGGTGAAGTTCCCTAAATATTACGAACTGTGACGCAAACTATTTGAAATGAAAGGTTTTGAAGATGAAATTGTGAATATCGATGAACAAAGCACACGAGAGTCCCAACCATGCAAAGCATATGCTTAGCGATTGCCATTGCAAATATTGCCTCTGAGCTTTGTAAAGTTCATGGATTATTGAGTGTTCAGAGTCTCTCCGACTCCGCGTGACACGCAGCGTTGCTTGATTTGCTGTATGTAGAAGTTTCGTCCACTCCCTTTAATTTTATTATTTGGCAAATCAGGGAAATTTGGCACCTTTCCTAAAAATCACAGGTCGTAGTCTTTGTATTGCATTTTGCTCCATTGCTTTTCTCCGTGACGGGTTATCTCCCCTTTTTTCTTATTGCTGCTGATGTCAGGACTGAATACTGGGTAGGACGAAGTCTCTGCTCGAATACGAGTTACCTCCCCTGGAGAGACTGACAGGCTCTGTACAAATGTATCTCTGTGCGTTACTCAGGTCCCACAGTCTCTGAGATGGTTCCTGTATATTCGTCACATAGAACGGCGTGTGTACGTCACAAGTTGTTTCGCTACGCTGGTTCTCATTGTTCAATTCAGACTGACACTCCTTCATGATTTCTCGGATATCAAAAGGTGTCCTCTCTTTCTGCGTTCTGTCGGCAGTTCTTGGAGACATAATGTCCAATTCCACTCCCCCCTCCTCTAGAGGCTGTGAGTTGGTCACGCGACCGGCCAGCGTCGTTGGGTTATCGTCACCGCCTCCTTCCCCCTCCTCATCTTCCCCATCCTCCTGTGTGGAAAACATACATATACAACAGCCTAACGACTGTGGGGGATGCTGAGGAACACGGGCACACAACAAGCAGAAGCAGAAGCTTGACAGGAACGGACGGACTGACGTCACAGAAGTCTAACAGACACAGGCTTTCGGGATTTGGAGGATGGGTGGTGACGTCATCGCTAAAGGAAGAGGTCAGTGTTCTGATGAACCAGGTGGCAGAGGCTGAGGAGAGGCGGGGAGAGCGGTGCAGGAAGTGATGACGTAAGCTCACACAGCGGTGACGTCTTCATTTTGAGTGAGGGGTCTGGTTACTACAACAATATCCTTCTGGCCTAATACCTTAACATGGAACATGCCCTCACGCCTTTTACACATCTCCTCTTTGGCCACCTTAGCTATTCGGCAACTTAGAGCGCTGGAGATAAGGCACACAAGACACTCGGAGCCCGCCGTTGCCAGGGCAACGAAGATGAGAATGTCCTTGTTCTCCTTCTGGAAGGTGTGTCCGTCCGTCGTGTGGTTGACCAGACCGAGCCTCAGCAGCTGGATGCTGACCACAGCTGTTACCAAGGAGACCACGGAGAAAGCGGTGAAGCACATTATCTGGAACAAATGGTCGTGTTATATAATAGGGATAGAATTCTCCGTTGTTTACAGCACAACTTAATATATTTCAGCTTTTTGAATGGGAGCATATACTTAATCCTGTCTGGACCAGGCAGTCCAGTGATTGACATAATCAGCATCACTCCAATGGAGTGAAAAGCATCACTCCATTCATCAACGAAATCAAAGACCCCGATCACCCGATCCCGCCTTTTTCAAGGATGGGTCGCTGAAGATGAATTCTAACCGGGGACACAGAGAGACAGAGTAATGTACATGGTAGATCTTACTGTGATGTCATGGTACAGAACATTGGGGATGTCATGAGACAGAGCACTGGACGATGTCATGGAACAGGGTGGTATATGTAATGGCAGATAACAATGGATAATATCATGGAAGAGGGCATTGGGTGATGTCATGGATCAGAGCATGGGGTGATGTCATAAATCAGCGCAGTGGATGATGTCATGGATCAGAGCAGTCGGTAATGTCATGCAACAGAGCAGTGGGTGTTGACATGGATCAGAGCTTTGTGTTATGTCAAGGATCAGAGCAGTGGGTGATGTTACAGAGCATAGAAGTGGATGATGCCATGGATCAGAGCAGTCGGTAATGTTACAGCACAGAGAAGTGGATGATGCCATGGATCAGAAGAGTGGGTGATGTCATGAAACAGCGCAATGGATAATGTCACGAAACAAAAGGACGTATAATGTCATGGAAAAGAGCAGTGGGTCATATTTCAAGATAATGGATGGTGACATTGTACATGACGGTGATATGAAATGGCGTCACATTGTGAAGTGTATGAATTCAATATAATGAAAGTAGCGTCTAACGATAAACATCGCGATTAGGTTTTGCTGGCGCGTACCTCAAGGCGACCGTTGCAGCGGCGACAATGTTACCTCGTGGACGGTCTGAAGCAAACACACTGACTGACAGATCCTAATGGACAGCGCCTCTTTTAGAACCTATCCCCAACTACACAGGACCAGCAAGCTGACAACATTAGCCTTTCAAAATCAGCCTTAAAGAGGTCTCAAATCTGGTTTTCCCCGAACAGAAACCACTTGACGACAATCTTTGGAACTTCTCCAACGGACCATGTAGCTGCGGAAGAGGATTAACATGTTCTCCGTGTCTGCTGCCACACCGTCGGATCGACAATCTGCCATTCCGTTATACGTGTTAACAAAACCGTATAAGGTTATAAAACTTAATTAGGAAATCCTCACGAAACTCTGCACAATTAATTATCCGGACCAGATAGGCCTGCAGAGGGAGTAATCACTGACAGAGTAACGAATTCACGGGAATTCCGACTCTTTCACCTCAGCCACAAAAATAAATCCATAATTTTCCTGTCCCTGTGTTAGCCTGACGCGACCACTTCCCTCAACCCATTCTAATTTTATGGTGGCTCTGTCATTTGGATTGATAAATTCGATTTATTTTCGAAATTTTATGAAAATTCAAAAGCAGAAAATTGCTAATAATTTCTAGTGGTTTGCCTCTTTCAATGTGGCCGTCATGAATTATAGTCTATTAATCCCAATATGGCGTCAAACTTAGGAGGATTGTCTGTGCAAATCAAATTCATTTCACTGTAACGGTAGCATCAGTTTGCTGTTTTGCAGTGCCCCAACAATAACGCCCATTGATATCAGCAACAATCCCTGGTTGTACCGTTAGTGTCTTCAGCCTGTTATATTCAGATTCAGCACATAGTTATCATGGGTAGGGCAAACCAACAGTTCATAATGCATTATAGATGTGACCTAAGCAGACAGAGCTAACAAGAGTATTGACGCCAAAGATTGAAGAGGAATTATTTGGTAGAGCGACAGAATTCTTCCTGATTCGCAGACTTCAGAAGACGGTCAGTGCTCTGTGCAAACCCACGGTAACCTTGTCAGCGCTCTCTGATTCAACGGCCAACGACATTTACCAAAGGGCTGAGCTTGTTCCTTTAATCATCAGTGTACGTACGCGAGTAACCTCATTAGGCGCGAGATGTTACTAAGATAGCCTTGCTTGACGTAGGGATAAGATAAAGATAGATGAAAGCTACACAGTACGATAAAAGAAGAATAGCGTGTCTCCTCCGAGTTTATGAGGAATAATTGTTGAATAAGGGTATTTTTAAAGTGGGAAATTCCCATTACCCTACGCACGTTATTTGCAGATAAAGAGGTCAGATGAAGCCTTTAGGGAAGAGTGGGTTGACGTGACGTTGACGTCATGTGACGTTTCAGGTGTACTTACCACATAAGATGACTTCTTTCTTGCACACAGGACCCCAAGCGTGCCAGTAATGATAAACTGAAATAACGATCAAACAGATTATTTCCTAATTCTCTACATACATTCCAAAACAATGCGGAATAGACGTTTTCAGAACAACGTGGTCTGATGTCACTGACGTATTATGAAGCGTGTGGAAATAGGTTCATCTATTTGATATGGACACTTTGACACTCAAAATCGAAGCCGAATATTGTGGGGCTTGGGAGGTGTGTCAAGCCTATCCCTATCATGTGCATGTTAAATCATAGGACAGTAGAACCTGTCATTGATCATTAAATGCAAAGATATATATCTTGGAGGAGGATGAATTACACACTTTACCTATTAGGAAAATGCAGCGAATTCAAAATTAAACTATTACTGCACTGGATGCAACTGATTTCAAAACTTTAATTATAGCTGCACTGCATGTAACTAATTTCATAAATTAGACTATAACTGCACTGCATGCACCCCTGCTCCCCAAATGGGCTATATTACCATACACCACACCACGGCACGGCACCACACCGCACTGCACAGCAACACAATAACAAAATGCAACACAACACTGCACGTCGATAAACTAAACGGCATACACAACGGCACATGCTTTTTTATAAAACAAACAAATTGAAGACAAACGTTGCAACTTTTTTTATAATGATGATGAAACGTGTTACACCATCACCGAGTTAACTTTAGCGCTTATATATATAATAGCACCTTTTGTGTCTGATGTTCAATATGGAAGCCTTCAATCAAGAAACGTACGCAGATTATAACCCCTGAAAACTCAAGAAAAACAAAGCTGACCAATCCAACCAAAGCTGATCCTCGCTGAGGTGAAGGACGTTTCAGAAAGTCAAGGTGACCTCTGCTAACCAACTTTCACACTGATGAACAATAGGCTAGAAAACAATTTACATACTGATTTTTAAAGCTGGAATTAAATGAGTTTTTAAAAATAAATAAATAAATTACAACAAACAAACAACAAGAATCAGAGACCACTGGCGTATGAAAGCGTTCAAACTAACATTCTGATATAAATTGTGTGATGGTTTCTAAGCTGAAATACATTTATATGGTGAAGTATGTGCGTACGCGCGCGCGTGTGTGTATAACGTCAGCGCACTAAAACACCATGGCCCAGTTTAACATAGATATCCGACTCAGACACAGTCCCTGATTTATTCCCTCATTGCGGTGTGCAGGGTAATAACAAGTACCATCTAGAAGCATCTTTTCCCCACATAGGTACAAAAGGTGTGAAGCCCAATTCTGCTGTCCCCCGCCTTGAAATTGATTGAATATTGCTAAAAGCGACATAAAACTAGACTCACTCACTTTTCATCCAAAATAATTTCATGGATTACACGATTGTCAATACAGTCTTAATCATGATGAGATAAAGGTTCATTACCATCAAGTATTTATATAAAAAACCAAAAACTGACAAAATAAAATTATGAACAAAATGAAGAGTAAATTCAGAAATGGGCCGACTTAAAACAGTTAGTTTTACTTTGCAAAAATATTGGTCTTCTTGTACTGGTTAAGTCCAATTAGAGTGAAATATACAGAGAATAACCAGTCTCGATTATCCGCCAAAATGGACGCCATGGGACGTGGAGGGCAAAATAGCGGTTAAATGGATATGAATGGATCACTGAAAGTCAGGTATCCAGGAATCGCCAGGTATCCACGAAAGAGTAAGCATGCCGTGTAATCAACACGTAACAATTATACAAAGTGCGAACTTAAAAACAAATGTTTCAAACTGTCTTAACCAATGTATCCGATCTTTTAAAATGCCAGAACTTGTCGAAACAGTAAGGAACACCATGCTCAGTTTTCAAAGATATAATAAGGTTCTCCAGCTTGGCACCGCCTGGAACCAGTGGCATTTCCAGCTAACGAAGGCGGATTAAAGAATATTACCGCCAGATATTAATAATTTGCCTACATTTCACGACCGGGTTTAGGATATTGACAAGCTTTCAGCGAGCTGATTGTAAATCATGAACACAACATGCTGTATTATCGGCGGCTTCCACTGAATAAACATACTTCAGACTCGTTATCGACTCAATACCAAAAGGAGGCAGTGTCAGCGTGTCACCTTGTCGTACCCTTATCATCACGAAGAATCGACTTAATTAAGTGAGGTTCGGCCAGCAGCGTTCCAGATGAGACGTGAACGTGACATTAGATGACGTCAGTTAGTTAGGAAACGTGGTCTAAAAGGGCAATCCTGATTGGGCGAACAAAGGTGAAGGTCACTGAAGACGTGCGGTGTTAAGGGAAAGGGTAGATGTGTTAAAGTCACGCCAGTACTGTAATGAGGGACTGATTGTGGGATGACTTGACGCGCCACAAGACGACGGATCCAAATTGTTGCTCTAAGTAATGAAAAGTTCACTCATGAGTGAGAATTGTGATACCGGCTAATCAGCCGCATCTTTGCCATTTATGTGCTCTTTAAAAGTATACCTTTCTACACTTAGGTTTTATTTTTCATTAGTACATGCGTATATGGCATTGATTAGACTTGTATCAGTTTTCCATGGATGATATTGCAGAGATTTCCCGGTAAAAGCTAAATTCTAGATACATTTGAAAAACAAACTGCATGTCGTGTACTGTTCCAATTGTTTTCTGAGGACTACATAACCTTGTACATCTTTGAAGATGTGGAGCTGTTGGGTAGCCTAGTGGTTAAAGCGTTCGCTCGTCACGCTGAAGACACATGGGTTCAATGTGTGAAGCCTAATTTCTGGTGTCCCCCGCCGTAATATTGCTGCAATATATTCACTCACTCACTTAAAGATGTGCCCAGAATTAATCTTCAGCACTCCATGCTTGTACGAGGCGTCTAAAGTGATCGGGTGGTTAGGCTGTCTGACCCGGTCGAAACTTGTTATCGTAGGTCTATGCTCATTATATCAATCACTCAGTCTGTATCGTTATATTTCCACGTTTGCAGGCAAGTCGTGTAAAATGCATTGGACGTTTGATCAGAACATACATTACTCATGTCATCATCTCTGACGTCACGGTTTGTGATGCACGTATTAGTATAACAAGGTGCACATCAAACCTAGTTCGAAAGCAATGAATGTATACGGCGTTGCAGCCTTCCCATATGGACTGGCGGCTTCACGTCCAGTTGTATTCGTTCAGATCATTCTGCCCAGTGGCAGGCAAGTTTTGGATGCTAAGTTTGTTCTTTTTCATCGTATTGATACTACAGGTAATTTCCGTCTGTAATGAATAAGTCCTATTCATCATGGACTGAATTTCCGTCCCGAGACATATGCGATCGCCATTGTCAATGAGGAGAAGGTAATTATGTGGCATAAGTGCTACCAGAATAGACCATAAAACTCAATGGGACGCAGGTGGTAGACTTTTGATGCTCTGGTAAAAATATAAAGATGGTTTGCTGACACAGCACTAATTAAACCAAACCAGGATTAAACCAATAACCAGCTGGTCAGCACTCCTCCACACGGCACACTACGGCGTTACTTCTCTGATGGTGAGAAGATGATCCGGACAAATAAGGTGGTTGTGATTCTGACAATTTAGTTCTGATGAGTAGAAACAAGTTAGTTGATCTTGACAACCAAGTTAGTTCCGATGCAGAGAAATAAGTTAGTTGATCTTGACAACCAAGTTAGTTCCGATGTAGAAAGACAAATTACAGCTGATACTGACAAACGAGTACGTTAATCTTGACAAACAACTTAATTCTGACGCGGAGAAACAATTCAGTTCTGATACTGAGAAACAAGGTATTTAATCTTGACAAACGAGTTAGTTCTGATGCGGAGAATCAGCTGATCTTTACAAACGAGTTCACTAATCTTGACAAGCAACTCAGTTCTGATGGGGAGAAACAATTTAGTGATGTTACAGAGAAACAAGGTAGTTAATCTTGACAACCAAGTTAGTTCTGATGCAGAGAAACAAGGTATTTGATCTTCACAACCAAGTTAGTTCTGATGCAGAGAAACAAGGTATTTGATCTTGACAACCAAGTTAGTTCTGATGCAGAGAAACAAGGTATTTGATCTTGACAACCAAGTTAGTTCAGTGCAGAGAAACAAGGTATTTGATCTTGACAACCAAGGTAGTTCTGATGCAGAGAAACAAGGTATTTGATCTTGACAACCAAGTTAGTTCCGATGCAGAGAAACAAGGTATTTGATCTTGACAACCAAGTTAGTTCCGATGCAGAGAAACAAGGTATTTGATCTTGACAACCAAGTTAGTTCCGATGCAGAGAAACAAGGTATTTGATCTTGACAACCAAGTTAGTTCTGATGCAGAGAAACAAATTACAGCTAGTACTGACAAACTGACGTACGAGTAAAAAACAATCAAATGATGAAAAACAGAACTGCACATATGATTCCAGCTTTAGTCCAGCGAATCATGTCGGGCCTTGATGGGGACGCGTTGCGGCGTGGCGCGTCAGAGGCAGTCCTTAGAACCAGCTATTCGGTTTGAAACTAAATTTGAATGTCATAGATAAGCCACGATTAATACTTAATCTTCAAAGGCAATAAATCTCAATATGCAATAAAACATAATAATAAATGACCAGAACGATTGTGGTTAATAAATATATCAATTAATATTTTCTGTATTTTTTTCCATAATCAAATAGCCTAGGGTAAACGTTTTCCCTACAACGCATATATACATACATTACAACATATGTTTCCTCTTGTTAAACGTGCAGTAGACTAACGTCCATTATTCAATGGTCATACTGGTGTTAACCTTGCACGAACAACACGTAATTGGTCTGTGAAAGAGTGTTCCCCATGTTTTAATACATGAGATATACTGTGTCAGAATTAGTGTCATCTGTCATGACAGGAATCGCGCTCTCATTAATCCCCTGTCTCATGGCGACTGAATTATGTTCTTTCAAGGCCTGCACAGTGTATGAAATTCAATATATACCGCTTTATAGAACGGGCGGTATTGATATTTGACCGTCTGAGCGATTGCCACCGCAT